CATCTACCTAGCTATGTGCCTATCCCCACACACCCCTCTCTGTGCCCATCTATCCAGCTATCTATGTGCACATCTCCATAAACACCTCTCTCTGTTCCCATCTTCCCAGCTATCTATATACCTATCCCCACACACTCCTCTATTTCTATCTAGATCATCCATATATCTATCTGTCCATCGATCCTCATTTATTTATTTTTCCATCCATATCTTTATCTATCTATCTATCTATCTATCTATCTATCTATCTATCTATCTATCTATCTATCTATCTATCTATCTCCTTCAGCCCTCTCTCTCTCTCTCTCTCTCTCTCTCTCCCCACACATCCTCTATTTATCCATCCTTCCCCATACCTCCCAAAAATATTCTCTCATATATGCTCCATTGTGTGTGCTCCATATATGTATGTGTTAGGTGTGGAGCTGGTGTGTGTATGTATGCATATGGTTGTTTTCCTTGTGTGTGTGCATCTATGAGGGGTGAGTGTGTGTGTGTGTATGTTTTGTGTGGAAATGTGTGGGAGGCATGTGTGCAATATGGGGTACACTGCAGTGTAGTTATAGCACAAATGATCAAGTGGGGTGTATTGTGAATAAGTGTGTGTGCGTGAGTTGTATGTTTGGGATGCCGGTTGTGTGCACAGGAGCTATGCATATGAGTTGTTTGTGTGTGTGGTGTGAACTGGTTATGTGTATGTATGTGTGTGTGCCAAACTCATGCATGTATTCTTTTGTATTTGTGTGCCCCAGCATTCTGTTTAGGGTCAGGTGTTTGTGTGTACCTACTATGTGTTTTTGCGTGCATGGGTTATATGTGCACTGGTCAGGTTGTGTGCCCCTGCTGTGTGCATGTGAGTTCTAAGGGAAGGTTGTCTTGGAGGAGAGCAGGTGTGTGCTGTGTATTCTCCCCAGAGTGTGTTTTGTAGGGAGGGGGAGGAATTGTGTGTGTGTGGTGGAAGGGATTGCGCTATGAGGCTAGTTTTGTGGGGGAGTATTGTTTTGTGAGTTATGTGTGTGTGGTCAAAAGCTAAGAAACAAAGGGTAGAAATAAACGGCCAGTTTTCAGTATGGAGAGAGGTAACTAGTCGTGTCCTGTAGGGGTCCATATTGGGACCAGTCCTATTCAATGTATTCATAAATGATTTGGAGAAAAGGGTAAACAGTGAGGTGACAAAATTGCAGATGATACTAAACTACTCAGGATAGTTAAACCCAAAGCAACTGTGAAGAGCTTCAAAAGGGTCTCAGAAAACTAAGGGTATGTCTACACTGCAAGGCTATTTCAGGATATCAAAGGTATCCCAGAATAGCTATCCCATGTCTACACAAGCCACCCATTCTTTCAAAATATTTTTTGAAATAATGGGTGCGCTATTTCACCATCTTGGTAAACCTTGTTGCACAAGGGATAAGGGATGGCTCAAAATAGTGCATTAGTTTTAAATTTGGTGCTGTGTAGACAACTAAATTTCAAAATAAGCTATTTCAAAATAGATTCAAAATAAGAGATGCAATTTCCATAGCACAAATTGCATATCTTATTTCAAGTTTAGGGTGCTGTGTAGACACACCCTTTGTGACTGGGCAACAAAGTGGCAAATTAATTTTAATATTGATAAATGCAAAGTAATACACATTGGAAAACATAATCCCAACTATACATACAAAACGATGGGGACTAAATTAGCTATTACCCTTCAAGAGAGAGATCTTGGTGTCATTGTGAATAGTTCTCTGAAAACATCCTCTCAATATGCAGCAGCAGTCAAAAAAGGCAAACAGAATGGGATAAACAAATAAGACAGAGAATATCTTATTGCCTTGATATAAATCCATGGCACACCCATACATTGAATACTGTGTGCGGATGTGATTGCCTCATCTAAAAAAAAGATATCTTGGCATTGGAAAAAGTTCAGAAAAAGACAACAAAAATTATTAGGGGTTTGAAACAGCTGCCATATGAGAAGAGATAAATAAGACTAAAATTTTTCATCTTAGAGGAGACTAAGGGTACAGCTACACTGTGCAGGGGACGGGGTGTTCGAAGAAGGTTTGCAAATTGCACTTGCATTTACATGTCTTCTTCTGACTCTTTTTCCAGAAGAGGCTTTTTCAGTATTTGGCCCGTCTACATGGGGCAAATGTTGGAAAAAACCCTCTTTTGGAAGCCCCTGTACACCTCGTTTTACAAGGAATAAGGGGGCTTCCAAAAGAGGGTTTTTTTCCAATGTTTGGCCCCCCGTAGACGGGCCAAATATTAGAAAAACCTCTTCCGGAAAAAGAATTGAAAGAAGATATGCAAATGTGAGCACAATTTGCATACCTTCTCCAGAACCACCCCCCACCCACCCACAGTGTAGCCATACCCTAAGGGGGAGATATGATAGAGGTCTATAAAATCATGGCTGGCATGGAGAACATAGATAAGGAAAAGTTATGTACTTGTTCCCATAACACAAGAATTAGAGGGCCACCAAATGAAATGAATAGGTAGCAGAGTTAAAACCAATAAAAAGAAGTATTCCCCCCCCCCATACCATATTAACCTGTGGAACTCCTTGCCAGAGGGTGTTGTGAAGATCAGGATTTTAACAGGGTTTAAAAAAGAGCTAGATAAATTCATGGAGCATAGGTCCATCAATGGCTATTAGCCAGGATAGGTAGGAATGGTGTCCCTGGCTTCTGTTTGTCAGAAGCTGCAAATGGGCCACAGGAGATGGATCACTTGATGACTCCCTGTTCTCTTCATTCCCTTTGGGGCCACTGTTGCACAGGTTCCTGGGCTAGATGGACCTTTGCTCTAACCAAGTCCGGCCATGCTTATGTTCTTATATTCCTATGGGGAATTGTATTGTGTATGTGTTATGCTATATGTGGGGGACAGGGGTTTTGTGGGGGCACAGTGGGGACTGTGTGTGTGGTGTAATGTGTGCTATATATATGTGTGGATGTGGGGGCTCTGTGTGTTGTGTGGTAGAGGTTGTGTGTTGTGTATATGATGGGGTTGTGAATTCTGTGTGCAGAGGGTAGAGGCTGTGTGTGTGCGTTGTGTTATGTGGACAGGATATGGGTAGAGTGTGGGGATGGTGGAAGGTTTGTGTTGTGCACATTGTGGGGTAGAGATTTTGTGGGGATGGAGCGCTAGGTTATGTGTGTTCTGCGTCTCCCTCCTGCGTGCATGTGTTGTGTAGGAGGTTGTGTACCGCGTCGCCCCCGTCATTCCCCGCTCCGCTCCCCTCCCCCCAGACTCGGGCTTACCAGGTCCCGTGGCTGCCGCCAGACGTAGTCGGGACAGGTGTGTGCAGCCGGGGCCAGCCTCCTCTCCCATCCTGCGTCACTGTCCCAAAGGGAATTGGATACCAAAACAGCACAACACACGTGCCCCGGACCCACACGCCTCTCCGCCGAGAGACAAGCAGCACAGCCCTGCCAAGCTGGCAGAGAACCCAGGCGTCCTGGATCCCAGCCCCCTGCGCCAGCCACCAGCCTGCAGAGTCCGTGGATGTGACTCTACTGCCCCACCCCCTTCTTAGCTCCAAATCCCCCCAGGCGTGGACGTGGGAGGACAGATCAGCCTGTTCTGAGGGGGGGGGGCAGTTCAATGACTCAGAGGCGAAAGACTCCCTGTCCTTTTAAATGCCCCCGGCGAGACATTCCCCCCTACGACCTCCACACGAGTCTCTCATTGACAGACCCTTGACATCTGACAGCTGGGAATGCACTAAAAATACCAACTGGACAACAGCCCCCCCATCTTTCCGTGTCCAGTAGCCCCCCTGCCGATTCTCCCATTCCCCTCCCCACCAACCCCCATTCCCTTCCCCGAGCGGGGAGAGAACCCAGGCGTCCTGGCTCCCACCCCCCTTTTTCCCTGCCCTGCGTGGCGGCATGATGATGCCTCAGTTTAATTTTAGGGGACAGCAGGTCCCAGCGCACTCGTGAAATAGCAGGAGGGCCATGACTGGCTGTCACGGGAGAGGGCAGGGCAGCGGGGGGCACTGCCGGGCACCAGGGGCTAATTCCGGCACTAAAATGCCCTTGGGGTGAATTGAGGACACAAGCCTGGTAGTGCCGCTGCCTCTCCCTCGCCCTGCTCCATCTCCCTCCTGACCTCACTGTGCCTTTCCCCTCCCTGCCCCATCGCTCTACAATTTCCCTCTCCCTTCAGCGCTCCTCTCCTCCTCCCTCTGCCCACCCTACCCCCACACCGAGCCCTTCCCCAGACCCCATCCACCTCTCCCCCAACCCGCGACGGGGGGAGCTCGGATGGGGAAAGGGAAGTGGGGCTGTGATGGGCTCGTTTAGGGGGCTAGGGAGGCTGGGAATGGGGAGAATAACAGAGGCCCCCAGCAGCTCCTACCCCTCCCCCACACCCATAGGTTCCAGCCCCCAATTCTAAGCGAAAGTCAGTGACTCATTTAGTGTTGTTAAAATTAGCCCAGAGGTCACCTTACTCCCTCCCCCTGCGAATATCCCCTTTAGGTTCCCTCCCCCCAACCTGAGCCCCCCAAAATCCTCTGGGCTCTTCTCCCCCGTATTCCTAGTTCTCCGACAGAGCCCCCCTCAATAACCACCCAGCCCCCCCTTCAGGTTCCTCCCCCACAACTCTCCTGACCCCGCCCCTCACTTTTTGCCAAGCACAACAAAACCGCTCCCGTGCCAACCCCCGCTACTGGATTCCTCCACCTCGGTGGAGAAGGGGAGAGAACCCGGGGACGCTGGCACCTAGCCTCGCTGCGCTGCGCTGCCCATCAGTCCCCACTGCCCTCCCAACAGCGCGTAGAAAACCCGGGAGTCTTAGCTCCCAGCCCCCCACTCTCCTCCCAGGGCAGAGGAGAGACCCCAGGAGTCCTGGCGCCCAGCCCGCCAGCTTTGGGCTCCTAGTGTAGCCATGAGGCCGGGGTGGAGCCAATTCCATAAGGCG